ATACAATTGAGAGAGTGCAAAGACGTGCGCGCGTCGAGATTAGCTCTCAGACAGAAAAGAGACGACACGTCCAACAAGGAACGATTTACTGATGTGATATCTTAAATAGGAGAATCTTTGTTTACAATATTTGCCCCATTACCATAAGCGATACAGTTTCTGATTGAGCTACAAAAGCATTAGTTCTGAATATTGAATGCGCATAGCGCGATTGACAGTCCCAAGGAATTTGAGTTCGATTTAATATTTTTTTTTGTGCTAAGCGGTTTTAAAAACTCCAAATTTTACAGAGAATGTATGAACTCATTAGCGCATTTGCCACCCAGAAATTTTGCAGTTTTTGAAAGCAAATTTTCCCTCGAATACTACACCCAAACAGCCAAAAACCGTTCACCAATTACTAAGTTTCACAAGCTCTTAAGATGTTTGCAGTCAATTTGTGTCTAGAGTAATGCCTTCTCTGCCTAAAGTCGTATGTTAATCAGGAAAAATGTAAACAATGACGTCAGCAAAGATACCTCTATCAGCCATTCCTGTACTCGCAGGCGTATTTCTTACTAATGGAATGCTATAAGATCATGTTTGTTTGTCTCATCTGGATTTCGAGGAATATTTTGAATTTGCAAAGGTCACTTGCATCAGGGCCAATCATTTATTTAAACTTTTCTTTAAATCAACTAAAATCAACTGTTTTAAACATTTTTTGTTTCATCAAAGTGATTGGTGATTGGAACAATCAACCTACGAACATTGTTGAAACGGGAAGCCTCGAACTATTTGAATTAAGACAAATCATTTTAAAAATTTTTTTAGGGGAGATTTTTTTTTCTAAACTCCCTTTTTGAATTTATAAACATTTTTTATTATTATTTATGAATTTGAATAAACATGTATGTTAAGCGTGAACACCTCTGGAGATAAATGTCAAGCGTTTTTCTTCATTTGAAGTTTAGCAGACTGTAGTTGCCCAAATTTATGTCCAACACAATTGGCATCGTTTTGTCTAGTCATCAAACTTGTTCTCTAAAAATACGTTTTGGCCGGAGTAACTTGGAACTTGGGTTTCCTTTGTCAAGGGAACTCCTGGTTTGAAGTTTCATCCTCACTTAAAAACAAAAGCCTTTTCACACTGACTCGATATAACGATACCAACTGGGCTAAACGTCGTACGCAANGTCAATTTGTGTCTAGAGTAATGCCTTCTCTGCCTAAAGTCGTATGTTAATCAGGAAAAATGTAAACAATGACGTCAGCAAAGATACCTCTATCAGCCATTCCTGTACTCGCAGGCGTATTTCTTACTAATGGAATGCTATAAGATCATGTTTGTTTGTCTCATCTGGATTTCGAGGAATATTTTGAATTTGCAAAGGTCACTTGCATCAGGGCCAATCATTTATTTAAACTTTTCTTTAAATCAACTAAAATCAACTGTTTTAAACATTTTTTGTTTCATCAAAGTGATTGGTGATTGGAACAATCAACCTACGAACATTGTTGAAACGGGAAGCCTCGAACTATTTGAATTAAGACAAATCATTTTTAAATTTTTTTTTAGGGGAGATTTTTTTTTTTTTTCTAAACTCCCTTTTTGAATTTATAAACATTTTTTATTATTTTCTATGAATTTGAATAAACATGTATGTTAAGCGTAAACACCTCTGGAGATAAATGCAAGCGTTTTTCTTCATTTGAAGTTTAGCAGACTGTAGTTGCCCAAATTTATGTCCAACACAATTGGAATCGTTTTGTCGAGTCATAAAACTTGTTCTCTAAAAATACGTTTTGGCCGGAGTAACTTGAAACTTAGGTTTCCTTTGCCTAGAGAACTCCTGGTTTGAAGTTTCATCCTCACTTAAAAACAAAAGCCTTTTCACACTGACTCGATATAACGATACCAACTGGGCTAAACGTCGTACGCAAATGTTAACAAGTTCACGTAACTGGTCTGCCAAACTTCAAATGATTTATGACGAATCAATTAGATTCTGTGTTGTTGTTGTTGTTTTTATTTTTTTATTTATTTATTTTTTTAATCTTTTTTATTTTGCTTTTCTTGACGTGTTCACGCTCAGCATGCAAACGACGGTACATTACAACAAGAAATCTCCATTATTATAACGTCAAAGCTCTGATTTGTAGACACAGCTTATGTCCTGTGTTTACACAACACGAATGACTCGAAAATCACAGGTGTCTCTATTTCCCAGCGCATACGTAAGAGTGACCCTTTATTTACAGACAAGGAAAACCCCAACAGCGTATGAAGAAGAAAACCACGCGAGAAGAAAAATCTCTCAAAACCTGGTAAGCAACCTTCTTTGAGTGAAGCGTTTATTCATCGCACATCATCTCAGTGAAGGTAAAAGATATCGCAATTTCCCGTTTTTAAAACTCTTTGTTAATTTGTTGCTATAAATTAGTTTAAATCGGTCACTGAAGATATGAGATACCAAATTCATCGGTATCAGAATGTAATTGTGCCTAAACAACTTCATCTTTCTGCAGCGTCCATGCATATATTGAATTGTTTTGTTGTCCGTTAACAAAAATTTCATTTGTTGTTTTCGTTTTTCAGGGAAACATGATGGTTTTATTCATTTATACGGTCGTGACGCTGCTGTATGTACACGGTGAGTAGCTACAACAGTATACAGTAAAACATAAAGCGATAGAATGCGCCCCCCCCCCCCNATTTCCGCTTCAGTAAACAAATACGCACGTACTCATAAACAAGTTAGAACTCCTTTTCCGCGTAAAAAAAATATTACTTTCGATAAAATTGTCCCCAGAAGATAAAAAATAACTACAACTCACGGATATAAAAGAAAAAAAAAAAAATGCAAAAAAACACAACAGAGGTTTATCGCTATCTCTTAAGACTAGGAAATCAGTGTGGTTCATTCAATGTGAGTTTTATCGCACGCATAATTAAAAACATTAAAATGGAACCTCCATTAACATCGTGCATAATTTTTCATTCTGTGACTTACTGCGGCTTCCTCTAATTCGATGGGGCATGCAACTGTTGTGTCCCGAACTAGTCGGTGCTAAGAAAGGATTCAACCGGATTGAACCAAACAACAACGATAACTTTATTCCGCCATGACAGCTGGTGCACGACACCACAACCGAGAGAATCTGGGTTCTAATACATTACACCGGGAGGGGATCTGGATCCTAATACACAACAGCAACTACCCCTTCAAAGATAGTAGGACAAGTTAAACGATGAATAATTAAGAAATGACATCAAGTTTTGTAGAATATATAAAAACAAATAAAGAAAAAAAAGAAAACTTCAAGCTGGTCTATCCATCGCGTTACAAACTTGCTAATCAAAACTGGTTTTATTTGTACTAGATGTCAGCTGATATTCTCTTGATATTAGTCAAAATGCCACTCTAGGTCTGAATAGCTATGCGACTGCAGTAACTCTGATCGAGCCTGTTCAATTCTGTTAAATTTTGTCTCACGGTAAACTAAATCACTCGCCCAAGCAGAGAAACAGCTAGTATGTGTTAGTTGTTTCATAATTACTCTGCTCGTGAAAACCAGCGTTAAGCACGGCCTTTGTAAGCCAACCCTACGTAGGGTTTAGTGCCCACCGAGAACCTAACATAAGCATTCTTAATACAGAGTTTAATTAATAATGCCGGGATAATGGCGTCTTATTTCAGCCGGTGTTGCGCAGGACTTCATTGAAATCCTTCAACCAAAGAACACAAGTGTCTGGGTGGCAAATGGCAAGACTCGGCGAGTTGCTTTCGCTTATGACGAAGGAGAGATAGACAAGTGGCTTTTGGAGATATTAGACAACCAAAGCAAAGCAGTTTATTCATATCCAGATGACATAATAATTCCGCAGATCCGAGGAGGAAAATCAGTTTATGAAAAGAATTTAGTCGTGCCTGAGAGTTTAAAGAGTGGCGAATATCGTTTGAGAATATGTGGATGGATGAAAGACAACAAGAAAGTATGTCAAAAAACGGCTGCGTTTCATATTGAGGGAGACCAAATGAAAAGTAAGTCTCAATTTTAATCAACTGCTATTGGTTTTTAGTATAAACTACGATCTAGCGTTCAAACACAAATACGGCCTTTCCCTGATTGGCTACGCTATTCACTATATCTGTTCTGTTATGGATGATGATTAGCTTAGCGGCAGAGTGTGGTTGCAAACAAAGTGGCAGCCGCTTCTTTGCGTTTTCAAGAGGTGTCTGTGAAGAGGCCGGATTTGGACAAAGTTTTGAACGACTATTAGATTTATACTAAAACAATTAGATTCGATTAGCTCTCGATTTCTGTGCATGATAGTCGGCTTCGGCCGTGCCCTCGTCAACTTTCAAGCGATAGAAATCTCGAGTTCATGATCAGTCGAAATTGTGATAAATATTATTGACGGTTATTAAAGGACCTAGTATGAAATTAACTAAAAATACCAGACTGAGGGAGAACTGATAACAGCGGGAAAAAAAAAAATCACCGATACCATATATTGATATCTAACCTCTGTCAATGGGTTATAACTACTATCATTGTATATCATTGTATGAAGGTAGCATTAGAAAGGTTAAAAAAGGCAAGGTAAAGAAACGTTATTTTTTAAGAATATGTTGCCTAGTCGGTCTTGGCTTCCAACAATTAAATCGAAAAAAAGATCGAGTTTCCTGTCGCCCTCTCACCTAGTGAAAGTGAGACAATCCAAAACAACAAAAACAGCACCTACTAGACAAAGTGAAAAAAGTCACAGCCTCTTCAGCGCTGTCTGAAGTCGTTTATGACGGACTGAAATTAAGATCCAAGGACAGCTAAGGGTGTATTTAAAAAGAATGCCAGAAAACGTGTAGGGAACTGGGCCGGTCCGGCGAGCAGTGGACGACGAAGAATGTTTATTAAAATGGGCTTCTCAGTGTTGTTGTTTCTTTCTCAGATGACAATGAAGAACTTCAACCTCACGAAAAGAGATTTAAAGCAAGACTTACAACTCACGAAGATTATATGAGGAAACTAGAGGTTGAAGATGTCTGGCCGATACACGAAACACATTGTACCATACCGAAGATACATAAGCCCACTACAGAGGAGTTTAACGAGAAATGCATGAAACCAGGTCTGTTACTTATTTAGAACATAGTCAGTAATAGATGGAAATGGTTATGAAACCTAGCAAAGTTCTTTGTTGTATGTTTTTGTTGGCT